GGATAGATCTTGGCACCAAGGGGGACTGAAATACAAGAGGGGTAAAGCATGAGCAGAGCTCGAGGCCAAGGAGGAGGAAGAGGGAGTAAATCATGCTTCTTGGTTTTATGAGTTAGGGCAGACGGCGGCGTTAATCGGAGGCCGGTTTCAGGGAGCACCCTAGGCGGCCGGCAGTCCCATGGTCTGTCACATGAAAACTGTGCGAAAAGGCCGGTGAGGACCTTTCCTGTAGTTAGCTGAAGAGAGGATCTGCTGGGCGGTAAGTCCCAGAGTAAGAGTGCTTTCACTTTAGTAAGACCGATGGACTGGCCAGTCAGTCAAAGTTGTTTCTGTCCATGTATGGCATCATGAAGGGTGGTCAACACAGATCTCACTTCGGTGATGGCTGATAAGATCGTGTCTCCTCAGAATGCTTTCCTTCTCTTTTCCTCTCTCCACCTCTCTCTCTCCGTTACACAGCAACCTACCCTAGCTCACAAGCTCGCAGTGCTTCGTCTCGCCATGGTGGCAATCCTGACACCCCCTCTCAAGACGAACCATCACGGCGTGTACTCAAGAAAAGAAAATCACGAAGAAAGCACAAAGGCATCCAGAAAATGATCATCGGGTAGCTAACGCACACACACAGTGGACAAGTGCATAGATCAGCACAAGCATGAGCACGAATGGTGTTGAATGTTTGGCGTCCTCCGTATGCTTCTTCCGGCTTCATTACATTCCTATTCGCTATCTGCTGATACTCCAACTATTGTGTTTAAAAAAACCCGACCTTTTCATATGAGTGGATCAGTGCGAGTCCAATTCGCTCTCATTAGAACTTTCTCTCGGAGTGAAACGGACTTCTCGCTCCGTGCGCTCGTACGGTCGCACTCCTGCTGTTTTATGATCTCACATGAGTGTCACGATAGTCAGTTTGCTATAGGATTTGATCGGCCGGCTGGAAGAAACGAACAAATCACCTTGCCATTCTGCAGTGACGCGGCGCCAGTCGAGTCACACGAGTGTGTGCTTGTCAGTCAATCAATGAGTCAATCAATGATGGATCATTGTCATTCATTCAGTGAATCACTGCATCACTGCAGACAACCTTCCTGTGTTCCTTCTCTTGGGAGACGGCCGTGATCCTGGCCAGGCTGGCCACGAGATGGGGTGTGTAGTGGGTCATTACACCTATGTATCGTCCATCCAGCCGACCTTTGAGTGAGGGTAGGGGCGGTCCGCCAATGTTCGTTAACCTCACGGGGACCTTTCTCCGCGATCCCTCGAAGGGGTACGTTCGTTCGTTCGTTAACCTCACGGGGACCTTGCCCCCGGCCCCCCGAAGGGGTACGCAAGAAAGGGTCTGTGTGAGTCCATAGAAAATCACGAGTCCGGAGAAGGAAGCACCGGATGCAACGCAACCCACCGCTGTCGCGAGGCTTTCGCAGAAAGCAGAAACGTGGCGACCGCTTCATGCACATGCAGTGATCGAGAGGTGAGCAAAGAAAAGGCAAACACAAGAGGATCACAATAATTGAGATCCCATCGAAAGTAAACCTTGCCATCAGGCGCCGCAAGGCCATACATGCGAACAACACGGAATACTTCCCCTCGTGCAGAGCTGTAGAGGGGATAGTAGAAAAGAATGCGCAGCTCATCCTCAACAGGTGGCACCCACATGTGAGGCAAGAAATGAAAAACGGTGCAATACGGGCAAGAGCGTAGCAGTCGTAGGGCCATCGATACGCCCATCAGTAACTGCACAGGGATATGTACCGGTCCGAAAAGCAAACAGCACACGACGCTTGGGTCGAGGTAGTGAAAAGTAGCATGGAAAGGTGGACAGAGGCTGGATGAGGCGATGAAGCCAGTCTTGGCCTGACTCAATAATGAAATCACGCGCGGGGTACGCAGAAAGAGTCTTACAGTTTAGTGTCCTTCGCCCTTGGGGGGCGCCTGTAACGCTTGGAGGGTTCCCCAATGTCCGAGATATACACGTCGGAGCCTCCCACAAAGGGAAAAGTTGTCCTCCACACTAGCCACGGCGATCTCGATGTTGAGCTTTGGTCCAAGGAATGCCCGAAAGCATGCCGGAACTTTGTCCAGCTGTGCCTAGAGGGTTACTACGACAACACCGTCTTTCACAGGATCATCAAGGACTTCTGCGTCCAGGGAGGCGACCCGACGGGGACGGGAGAAGGTGAGTGAGAAGGAGGTGCAAGCAAGGCCAGATGACATCGTGTACCTACCATGCAGGTGGAGAGTCGATATATGGGTGCCCTTTCCCTGATGAGATTCATTCTCGGCTCAAGTTTCGCTATCGGGGGCTGCTTGGCGTTGCCAACGCTGGCAGAGGTACGAGGTGAAGGAGACGGACTGGAGGCATTTTGTGAGCGTGTCGGCCTTGGATTCAGGCAGCAATACCAACGGAAGCCAGTTCTTCATTACCCTCGGTGCCCACAGCGCTGTGACGAACCAGGGCACACTAACCTCGCTGGTTCTTATAACCTCGCTGGTTCTTACAGGTCGGTGCGACTGGCTCACTGGCCAACATACCCTTTTTGGCAAGGTAGGAGAACGGACTGAAGGACCACCTGTTCATTCGTGTTGCTCTCCGTCAGCTGACAGGGTCAACAGCCTACAACCTTGTGAAACTGAGCGAGGTGAATATTGTGCACATGATACTGTACCGAAAAGAATTCTCCCTACACCTTACCAGGCTGAGACAGACTCCAACGACCGACCACGAGATCCGCCGTTCATTAAAAGCACAGAGGTGCGTGTGAGGGCAAGAAATGACGCGACACCTCCTGTGCCGTCGTTTTCGGCTTCAGGTGTTGTGGAATCCTTTTGAGGATATTGTTCTCCGCCGAGCACCAGCACAGGTAGGGAAGAGAGCACAATCTCACACAGCAGTCTCATGTGTGAGATTGTGCCTTCCCAGGATGCCGGTGGGAGCGACGAATCGAAGCCAAAAAGACAGAAAAAGGAAGCACTGAAATTCAAGTAATGAGGACCTGCCCGTTCCTCGGGCTCCTGCAGGCATCCATTAATCCCTTTCTTTTCAGGAAAGCGACGTTCCTTTCTTTTGACGAGGACAAGGAAGCCATCGACATCAGTGTATGGTCAGACACGTGTCTGAAACTCGTTCCCTCCCACTCCGTCTTTCTCTCTCCTTCTTCCTTTAGGTTGCAAGAAAGAGCGCTCACGATGTGCTGGATGATCCCAGCCTACTCAGTCAAGTACAGGCGAATGATGACGACGATGGTGGAAAGCGGCTAAGACCGCATGATGATGATTCAGCAGCAGCAGCAGCAGACATCAAGCGCTGGATTCTCGGTTCAGCAAGAAGCTCTGACAATGACAAGCGGAAGGGAATTCCTTCGGGCAGGGTGAGTAACGACAGGAAGCAACGCTTTTTTGTCGTTCTATGATTTATTCTCATCAAGAGTTTGCCTACTTCGCTCGGCAAAGGCATGAATGGAGAAGCGGTCGTCGATCAACGTAAAGGTGAGTAGTACGAATCTCAGCATACACCGATTGATGCGAGGCTTTGTTTTTGTAGACAGCGAACCGGCGCCCGATACAGAAAAAAAACGGTGAGGCATATGATACGTCACTCACCGGGCATCGTACACCATATTCCTCATCCGGGCATGTCCAGAAACATGACGGAAGAAGACGCCCGGCTGCGCAGAGAGATACAGTCCCTGACCGTGGAGAAAGCGGGAGAGGTACGAATCTACCAATTCGCTACCAGAAACGTCCGATAGACGTCCGAGGCAGCGAATGTCTCTCTGTTGTGATTGCAGGGCTCGAAAGCTGCTGGGACAAGGGCGGTGAAGGACGTGGAGAAAGGAGATGTACTGAGCGAATGGGTACGTTGACCGAAGTAGCATCGAGACTAGTCTCTGCGACTCCTTTCTTGGGTTCTGTTGAAGGAACGAAAGCGTGAAGCTTATCTCAAGCGGAAGCGGACAAGCACAAACAGGAAGCACCAAGCAGATGTACGCAGACAGGAGGGGAACTGGCGATGGACAGCCAGGAAAAACAGAGGTACACGTCTCCGTGTATGGTATGTTGCAGGTGATGCAAAAACTTACGTCTTTTCGCGACAGGCTGAAGCATATGAGGGGTATGGATGAACGCGACGCTGTGGATGGCAGCGACACTGGAGAGCTTGTTGGCGCGAGGCCACTCCAGGAGGGGTCTGCTTTGCCAAACTTGGGTGAGTGTTTTCAGCCACGTGGGTGACGTGTACCTACACAGAGCTTCCTAATTTGCTGTGGCTCACATCTGCTTGACAGATGAAGAAATACCTGAGACTGATGGGACTTGGGCGAAAAGGGGCCTCCGATTCCCGGTCGATTCTTCGAGGGCATATGCTTGGGACGCAGCTAAAGATGCGGTGCGAAGTAGCGACTGACATCGTGGATGCTCTGTGGCCGCGTATGTCTGCAGTTGGAGGTCTATGACCCCTTGAAAGACAAAGATAGAGGAGCATCTCGCAGACAGGAAGAGAGCAGACGACAACAAACGGTAGCATAGCAGGAAGTGCTTTGTCAAAAGCACACAAATCGTGGGTTCATGATGCGTGTTTGTGGGGTCCAGCGGGCATTGGGATACTCTACGCGCCATGAGGCACCTGAGAAATGGTGAAGTGGGATTCGCAGCCAGATGCACGGCCGGTGACGTTTGATGGCGGCTCTCTGATGGCGATGGGATACCTCTGGTCTTGTTGACAATGGAATGTGATGTGAATGGTGGTGAGAGCAGGATAATCCCGTGGCGGTGCTGCCTGGGCCCATAGACCGTGACTTCGCAAAAACTCCATGTGGACTGCGGTAGCAGCTGATGTCGATCTCACCTCGATGCCTAGCCGTACGCTCTGTGTCCCTTTTCACCCTCCTGTGATACTCTATTCAGACGCACAACACGGGCTCAAAACGCAAGTGGTCTCTTTAAGCCCCTAACTCCAGCTTTTTCCTCAGTAGGACTCAGCCACAGTGGTGGCGTGGAGGAACCGAGAGGCATGCCGCAGCAGCCGGAGAGGCGGGATAGATCTTGGCACCAAGGAGAGGAGTAAACGTAAGAGGGGCGTGAGCAAAGAGAAATACGGAGGCGCGAAACCTTGTCGAGATTCGCGAGGCAAATGAGTTAGGGAAGAGCAAATCCGACCGCCAGTCCAGCGAAGGTTCTGTGAGTTTTGCCCTTTTTGAAGCACGAGTTGTGCTGTGTTCATGGTTCCTGCTGCTCTTTCTGAAGGAACGCTGTCGCCCCTTCCCCTCCTTCACCAACAGACCGTTCCCATGGCTCCCCCTTCTTCCCTCGCGCTTCAGTTGCCTCTCGTTGATCGCCATGCACGGCGGCGAGTGCACAGTCTTGAGTTTGTGCCGTCATCTCCTTCATGTAGACGAGCACATGATCTCGCTGACGTCAATGCCACAGCTGCTGACGCGGTACGGTGTTACAACGCCCCTTGCCGGCTTGACTGGGTATGTCTCGCTTGCTTCTCTGCTCCTGTGCCTGGCAGGTTGACACCGACATCCCGAGCTCGGATCTGTGGAGCTCTGGCTCCGAGTCTGATGAGTGCTCGGATGATGGTGACGTGTCGCCGATGTCGTGTAATGGAGGCCCTGCGCCGGCCAGCTCTCACCTCGCTCGATGTCTGACGCACCGAGGCGGATATTTGTTTGACATCCGTGACTTTGGTGCCCGGTCAGGCGATGGTGTGTGCACTGACGCCATCAGAAAGACCGTTGAGGTGGGCCTCATGAACAGGAACAGCGCCTGGAGGTCTCTCGGACAGTCTGGCTTTTTCTGTTGCCTGAACTCTTCAGGCTGTTCAGAAGAGGGGCCGTGGTGTTGTGTATATCCCTGAGGGCGAGTGGAAGTCTGTTCCTTTTCACCTAACCTCTCACTGCACTTTGTTCGTCGAGAATGGCGCCACTCTTCGGGCCACTGATGACTTGGAGGACTTTCCTCCCATCCCACCCCTGCCGGTCAGTCATCCGAGTCTGAAGTCACACAGTGCAGTCGACGAGCGATCTATGCATGTGTCTGCTTGGTTCAGTCATACGGCCAAGGCCGTGACCATCCGGGTCCACGTCACATGAGTTTCATTCAGGTGGACAACATGGAGGATGTCGTCATCACGGGCAACAATGGAGTCATCGACGGCTCGGGCCAGAAATGGTGAGGCGCCATGATGAAGAAGATACACTCGGTGTATCCTCGTATCTGTGCGTTGATCGATGCAGGTGGCAGCGGCGCATAACCAAAGCGGAGCGTGTCACTCGTGGTCACTTGGTCGAGTTTTTGTCGTGCCGCAACGTGACGCTGTCCTACCTGACTCTTCAGAGCAGTCCCCACTGGACTGTGCACCCCGTGTATTGCGACACAGTGCACCTCCACCATCTGACCATCCTGTCGCCCCACTACCACGCGCCGAACACCGATGGCATCAACCCCGACTCGAGCGCCAACGTGGTCATCGAGTACAACCACATTTCGACTGGGGATGATGCCATCGCCATCAAATCGGGATGGGTAGGAGAAGAACACACTGAGCCGAGAGGTCCTGAGACGCCTTCATTGTGGGACCGCGTGGCTGTTGTGTGCAGGATCACCACGGCTATCGGTTCGCCCGGCCATGCCGCAACATCGTGATCCGTCATAACTACCTATCGTCGACGCGTTGCGCGGGCATCTGTGTGGGCAGTGAGATGAGTGGGGGCATCAGCAACGTTCTCATCTACGACAACAAGATCGTTAAATGCTGCCAGGGCATCCACTTCAAGACGGCCATGGGCAGGGGGGGCTATGTCAGAAACGTGACGCTGATGAACTGCACGATGGAAGATGTACAGGTCGCTGTCAGGCTTAACGGATACTACAGAGGTGAGCACGACAGGTTAGCAAACGCAGATTCGACTTCTCTCACGCCGTGTGCTGCTTTTCGTCCTGGCACATGCAGGTCATCCACATGATGGGTACGACACGACAGCCGTCCCTGATATCTCCGACCTCCATTTCAAGCGCCTTCGTGTGACCAACGCTCTGCAAGTGCTCGAGGCTCAGGGCCTGTCTGCCGCCCCCTTCACCAAGGTTCGGCTCGAGGACGTGCAAGTGCGCCTCGACCCTGACAGCAGCAAACCGGCCTACAGCTGTGAGCACGTGTCAGGCACCGCCAAGAACGTCTACCCTGAGCCCCCCGAGACACACTTCAAGCACTTGCATACCAACATTGTGGAGAAGAATAACATCTATGGTTCCAACGGAGATGGTTGCCTGTTCGGGTAGGCAGAGACGACGCCGGACGCTAGGAAAGGTCGTATGCAATTCTGTGTGCTTTTGTAGGTTCTTGATGAATCTGTCTGTGTTGAAGCTGAACATGCGGAGCCGAGACGTCACGTCACGCCGTCAGGTACTCCCCAGGCTACACCCACACCCCGCGAACCGACGCAAGCGGGTGCGCGACGCGCAGAAGACCGACAGCCCATCCTCCTCCCCGCACAACGGGTCCATGGCGGCCAGCGAGTCCGTTTACGGCCCCCCGCCGATCGCTAACGCGAACTTTGATGTCGCAAAAATCCAGAGAGGCGAAGAGTCAGAGGAAGCAGCTTAGGGGTGGCTAGGCTACGACTGCGTACGTGTGAATATGTGGGTCTCGTGTAGCAGCACCCCGCCCCACTCCAAAGGAACTGGGGGCTTGCGGTAGGAGGTATGTATGTGCATGACAGTTTTGAGGACGTGCCTCGGTGTGTCAAGTTTTGTTGCTGACGTCAGATTGTGACAGGCTCGAAGAGCGGCACGTGCTGAGTGTACAGAACGTGTGCTATCGAACGATATCTGAGCCTGCGCATCTTTTGTGCATACTCTGTCATGCTGCTTTTTTGGGAACCATGTCTCCCCATATTCCTGTGCTGTATGTCTGGTGGACGGGGGCGAATTGACTGCGGCAAACGTGGGAAAGTGTCATAAATCCTCACGTGTGGGGTCACCAAAGCGTTCAATCCTCCCGTGTGGGCAGGTCGAGAATGTGCCCCCGCCTCAAGATACGAGGTTAGCACTACAGGTCTGTTCACACAGGTCGAGCTACCTACGCTTGCGCTGCTTTTCGTCCTGGCACATGCAGGTCATCCACATGATGGGTACGACACGACAGCCGTCCCTGATATCTCCGACCTCCATTTCAAGCGCCTTCGTGTGACCAACGCTCTGCAAGTGCTCGAGGCTCAGGGCCTGTCTGCCGCCCCCTTCACCAAGGTTCGGCTCGAGGATGTGCAACAAACCGGGCTACAGCTGTGAGCATGTATCACGGGCACCGCCAAGAGCGTGCATCCCGATCCGCCCGAGACACACTTCAAGCACTTGCAAACGAACATGCTTCACAATAACAACATCTATGGTTCCAACGGAGATGGTTGCCTGTTCGCGTACGCAGACGACGGAAGCCAAGAGCGGCCGCATTCAGTGCTGCTTGTGATGTATGTAGGTTCTTGATGAATCTGTCTGTGTTGAAGCTGAACATGCGAAGCCATGACATCACGTCACGCCGTCAGGTCCTCCCCAGGCTGTACCGGCACCCCGCGAATCGACGCAAGCGGCTGCGAGAAGAGCAGACGATCGGCAGCCCATCCCCCCCAGCTCCTCCCCGCACAACAGCTATGTGGCAGCGGCCAAGGGGTCCGTCTATGGCCCCCCGCCGGTAACACGGAATTTGACATAAGAAGAAGTAGTTGAGGGGTGAATTTCGCTAGCCAGACATGCATGTGAATGTCTGGGTCTCGTGTAGCACCCACTCCAAAGGAATTGAGGGGCTCATGGCGTGGCATGCGTGAATGGCAGTTTTGAGGTGCGTGAATGACGCCTGTCTGTGCATGAAATGTGTCTTTGCTTCGACTGGCACTGAGGAAACGTGTGTGATGAATGAAGTTTTGTTGTCGCCGATAGGTTTGTGACAGACTCGAAGAGCGCCACATGTTGAGTGTACAGGAGGTGTATGTGTAAGGACAACGTTGGCTGTGCGTTAATATCCTGCGTTTTTGGAGGTCCATTCGTATCTCTCTTCGAGTCACATCCGACACTGTCCGTTTGATGAATGAATCTTTAGCTATCGAGTGTCTGTCCGGGACAAGTCCGTCGAGTGCCTAGCTGGCGCTTGTCCAAAGCCATACGATTAAAGAGGAATGCTTTCTGTCATGATTCTCCCACACGGCAAATCTGGAGAGCCTCCCTCGCTGCCTGCGTATTCAATCATTCCATCAGGCGCCAATCAGCATGCGTGTCGCGCGTCTCCACTTCCCGTCAACTACACCGTCATACTTGCGCCTTCACACCCGACTGCTGTATCTCGCCCCATCGGCAGCAATACCTCCCACCAAACACTCTCTGCAACCGATGAAGAAAGCTTGTCTGCGTCTGTCCGTCTCTCTACATGGCTTTGTTCATGTGTGCGAGTGTGTGATGAGCTTGAAGACGGCTCTAACTCGTACCCATCCCCAACTCGTCGCCTGTTTTCTTCCAACCAAACGGACTTCCTGCCTTTCCCCGTCAGATGTCTGCCCCTCCTGCTCCCATTGACCTGACAGGCGACTCTGAGGACGAGGGTGACCCAGGAGACGCCTCTGCCCGTCTCGCGGGTGACCGAGGACTCCGAGTGGCCACGGTCAGGCACGGCTGGAAGAGCTCCCTACGCTGTTCCCACTTCAACCATACGGAAATGCATTTCCACAAGTGGAAAGGAAACAAGTGCACTGAGAATCTCCTCACCTGAGGTCCGTATGTATTGACGCACCATCCGGACTCTAGTAGTACCTGCGCGTGTAGCCTGCCCCAGGCTGGCTGCATCACATCCACAAAACGTAAACAGAACAAAACAGGACCGTCGCGAGACACACCGAAAATGAGTGTATGTCCCACCGAAAATGAGTGAGGCACAGTCTTCTCAAACGGACTCTTTCTCATTGAAAATGTTGAGAAACCAATTAAGCTATAGCCGAGGTTCCCCAACACAGAATTAAACGGACTTTGAAGACTGTTCCCTCACCAATGAGTCAACCACCAATCAAAGACGCTACTGTGGGCCTCGGATAAGTGGGACCCTGCTTAAATGGGAAAAATCCCATTTATCCGTTGTGAATGTTGTGCATTTTACAAGCCAGTGACATTCATTCATTGTGAGCCGTCGCAATGACCTGCATGTGGTCCAGCGTGCCTCACTGATCACTGTGAACCGAATTTCACCGTCAAACACCCACAAAGAGCCGAGATCGGGGCCGCCAAAGCGAGGCCAAGCGAGCACAACAGAAGCAGCGAGGCAAACAAGCAAGGAAGCAGCATGAATGGCTCTCCTCAGAGCACTGGGAAGCATTTGCAGTGAAACAGCGAGTCAACGACCATGATCAGACAAGCAGCGGCCTTCCTCTCGCTCTCGAAGCGCTATAGGAGAGTGCTTCTCTCTTTAGCCTTGCGTATACGCGGATAGCGTATTCGTTTGAGATGTGGACCGCTGATCCAGGAAACCTGACAGCGGGACTCCAAACGCACGGCCGCTGCTACAGGGTGGCATGAAATGACACACGGACAGTTAACACACGAGAAGAAACATGACACTGAAGAGCATTTCACCTCATCATTGATGATATACCGCTGCGCTGATGAAGGGAGGGAGATGTCAGCATCTCTGCCGTGTTCTAGAATTGAGCCACTATCGGCGGAGAGCTACGGGCGGTGGGGGGACGAGGCAGCTGCCCTTCTCAACCGTATGGCCCGGCACATGCGGCCACCTGTCTATATGGAGGAGGGCGTGAGACAGCAGTGGAGAGGTGGTGGGCTCGACTTAGTGTGCTGCTGCAAAAGGGCAACGCACACATGGTGCGGAGCAGGGCGTGGCGGGCAAGTAGGTGGAATGGGCAGGAGAGGGTGGGTTTTGCTGAGGGGCTGCTGCTAGAGCGGGGGCCTTTCCACCCTCGTTGATTGCAGGGTGTGGGTGGGTGGGGCATGGGTAGGTAGCGAATGTTTTGATCGTTGCTGTCAATAGTTTAGATGCGAACATGTAATCGACCGTCCCAGCGCATGGACACACGGACAATCTTACCCTTAACCACGAATTGAGCAGCTATGAAACTGACATGCCAAGGGAGTTAGGGAAGGACAAAACAGGAGCAAGATCGGGGAAAATGGTGTTAAAACTGAATGAGTTGGCATTGGACTGTTGAACTGTTGATTCAATGTTGCTTGGTAAAGCTTTTTCACGCTCCAGTGTGGCCACTCGGGCCCTCTGGAGGTTGGCATAGTGTTCGTCGTTCAAAGTTACATAACTCACCCATTCTACTACTAGACACCGCTCCATCGGCACAACCACAAGCCGACCCGGGAGCATTTTGGAGCACGGCGATCGAGTGACATCGTGTTTGGACGACAGACTGGACACAATGGCGAAGACCCGCAGCGGTCGGAATACGCAGGAGTCCTCTCCTGCACATGCGGCGAAGCCGATCACCAAGGCGGCTAAGCCGAGGAAGCAAAGGACACGTTTGAGTGAAGCATCACGTGAAGTGATTCGACCCACCGAGGAAACCTCACACGCAAATGTAGCTGGTGTCTCAGCCAGAGATGAGGCACCGCACGAACAAGGCGCACTGGCGCATGCCAATGATGGCACAAGTAGCCCAATCGACCTCTCACACACTGATGTGCATGAAGGCAGCAGCCGTCTTTTTGGCCAGGGTGACCGCATGCCAGCACATGACATACAGAGGCCATCCGTGAACCTCCAGGCTTTCAAAGGCACGTCAGACCTTGCTGTCAATGCATTCATTGAGGGGGTCAGGGCAAATGAGCAAGTGCATAACCTCGAGAGAGGTCAAATACTGCCATACGTCATGGCTGCACTGCAAGGCACTGCACTCAGAAGGGTGAACCGATGGGTAGCAATGAGGCAGTACAGCTAGAGCTGCTCTTAGGCTACTTACAAAAGGAATTCGGCCAGAAGCCATCAGAGGCACTCGTGATCGCAGAGACCATGAAAGCATGGCGGCAAAAGCCCAAGCAGACATTCGAGGAAGCATACGATGAGTTCTACGAACTCTACGACAAGTCAAGCAAACCAGAGCCAGAGGCAGTCGACCTATTCATCAGTGGCTTGCAGCGCCAGCTGAGGGACGAAATATACCCCAAGAACACCGACCCACGCTCATTCAGCGCCATCAAGGATATCGGCTTTGACGCTGAAGTGATTGTGATGCGCGCGCGCAAGCACCCACTGGATGAAGAGGAAGAGAGTGACGCCGAAATGACACGACCGTCAAAAGCCGCTCGATATGAGATACGCGCGGTCGGCCAGCAACCTGAGCAGCCACCCAACAGAGCCAAAACAGGAGAGTCAGGCGAGGAGTGTGTTGAGTCGGTGCGTGCCTCTGTCAACGCCATGAAGGCAGAGGTCATCGAGAGCATCAAGGAAATGGGACATGGCCCATCCAATCCACCTACACAAGAGGCGAGACGCCCACCGTGGGACAGAAACAGGGGAGACGTGCCGACACAGCGGTCCTTTTATGGCTACTGTGATTGGTGCGAGAAGCAAGGCCACCGATGGCGAGATTGTCGAGAATTCGTCCGAGGCGCCAGACGGCAGCGCGGACACAGACTACACCACAGACAACAGGGGCAAACACAATCAGACTGGAGCCCAATCATGTAGCCCCTCCTGCTCTCACACCACCACCAGCTCACCTGCAGCTGGAAACCGAATAGCTCCTCTGCAGTAGGGCGGGCGAGGGGACACAATAGAAGGAGAGACCGCCCTACACACACCACAAGGGAACCACCAAGTAGTCAGAGCAATGCATGCAGACACTGATTTGTCGCTTACTGATGGAGTGGTGCGTCAAGGTGATGCGCTCTTGCAGGAGCCTGGGAGGACGTTGTCCATGGCAGAAGCGTTGACTGGCCCCCACACTGACCGAGCACTCAGGAATGATAGGAATGGGGTACATAATCCTAGGGTACCCATTGTTGGCTGCGGGAGGCAGCAGGAAGAGGTTTCGGCGTTGGCTCGTGCGTCTACCGCGAGTCGGCGTAAGCGTACAGAGAGAGATCCATCCACTCGTGGCGACCAAGGGGAGAAGGCGGCTACGGCGGCAGCCTGCCTTGGACGTTAGCCCACATGTGTCGATCCGGCTGATGAGTGCCAGCCGATGGAGCGGGATGATGAGACTGCCTTCTTTGGTCGGGCCGCTGGCAGTCCGGAACCCGATCAACAGAGGGAAGAACGGCAGGGTGGCGAGGTTCTTCATGGGCCGAAACCTAATGGACAGAGAGACAAGGATGGTCAGAATGAGGCTAGCAGCACAAGCTGGTGTGGTGGCGCACCGATGGCTGGTGCACGTGTGCATCATGTTGATGACGACTCGAACGGG